CTTACCCTTTTTGAGTTATCTTGAAAAAGCCCTTTGTTTTATCTTTTTCCACCCTTGGCCGGGGGTTGAACAAAAAATTACTCTCACTTATTGTTATAATATACCTTAAACTAACTCATATCAAAAATTCAGCCAAGTTGACAAAATTTCGATTGAAAGGCTTAGTTAATTGGACTATAAGCTAATGGTGTATTTTATTCAAACAACTACATACACACAAAAAACAATCGCTTATATTACTATCAATATAATTTGTACTAATGTTGAATATTAGGTAATTAAATAACAAGCTTTCAAGTTATTTATTTTTATGATAGAAATGAAATATAGAAACTTCTTTAAGTCATGATGAAAATATTTATGATATAGGTATAATTTATTTACGATTTCTGATAATAATAAAATTTTAACACAACAGTATTTTGTTTGCTTGGATTGGAAAAACATGTAGTACAACTTTAAAAAAGACACAATTCTGTAACCTTGATAACCAGCTTTACTGTTTTCGATGCTTAATTAAAGGAATCATTTGATATTTATGAAAATTAGACATAAATTTAATTTGATTTAATTTCCTGCTAATTTAGAATCTTGTACCCAATGCTAAGAAGATACGAGTAGCGTCAGCTACCACAGGCATTATATAAAAAACTATAATCTTATAAAATATAATGTTTAATTAATGGAGTGTTATTATTCATATAAAAGCATTATGGAATCCAATCTTAATCCGTACAAGTCTGTCTAATTGTAATTAAAAGTATATCAAAATTTCGCAACTGGATTGTGCATCACACAACATAATTGTTTTGAATTTAACTTGATGATGAAACAAGTAATGAAATCATTAATCTATATATTGAAGATCAAGAGAAAATATTCTAAAAGTAAATATATGTGTAAAATTCTGAGGATAAACTTGTAGGTATAGAGCAGGGGTCGGCAAGTAATTTTAGGTGGGGTCCGGATACTTTTGAAAATTTTTAACGAGGTCCAGAAAAAAATTCATATTTCTTATTTTTTATTTTAATTTGGACTCAAATTTAATCTGCTTACTAACCATTAAGAACTCAAAACACGCACACAATTGTAAAATACTAGAAAAAATGATAACATTGGCACTTAAACGTAAAAAACATTTTTTAAATAATTTATTTGAGTAATTTATACTTTCAAACAATTTTTGGCGGTCCAGTATTTTACCTTCCGCGGTCCGGACCTGGACCGCGGTCCGCCAGTTGCCGACCCTTGGTATAGAGTTTGCTCTAATTTTTTCATTAAATCCCTTATAATAAGTTATAGGATATTTAGAATGTAGAAGATTATTGGAATATTCCATACAAAAATATTCACATTCAATAAGCCAACAAAAAAAAAATTAAATAAGTAAGTAGGACAAATTTTGAGAATAGTAAAAGCTAATCCAATTAGTGACTTGACTACTTGATCGGTCGTGTTAAAATTTTTATGTAAAGAAAACATTTATAAAGCCAATAAAAACCATGACTCATAAAAAGTTTTTCATGTTAAATTAATGATTCATTTAAGTATGATTCCTTAAGACAAACTGTACCTACATTCTTTTTAATATGATTATCAAACACATTCTGATAAATAGGTAAATACCACATATTTTCATATAACAGATAAGAAGGAAATATATTAAAAAGTTTGAATCCTGACATCTCCGGGGTCATTCACTCCTATTTTAATTTTTTATTGGTTAATTTTTTTCCAAACTTTTTCATTACTAAAGATCTCTATGTAAATTTAAAAAAAGAGGACTTCCAGCAAATTTAAATATTAGTTGCACTGCAAATAGGAGATATACGATAGAGAGAGTAGAACAAGTCGAATATCTAGGAGTAACGCTAACGTGTAAGGGCGATGAAGAAAAGGAAATAGAAAAAAGGTTAGCAAAAGGAAGTAAGGCTGCGGGAATGTTTTCACGATTTTTAAAAGCAAAGAATATAACAAGAGCAACGAAAGTACAGGTGTACCAAACAATATTGAGGCCTACAGTTACTTATGCATGCGAGACGTGGACAATGAGAAAGAAAGAGGAAAGCAAGTTAGAAGTCTGGGAACGAAAAATACTAAGGAAAATTTTTGGAGGAATTAAAGTCGAAAACGAATTCAGGAGAAGAACAAATAAAGAAATAGAGGAGCTGTATAAAAACCCAAACATTGTTCAGGTGGTCAAAATGCAAAGAGCTAGATGGTTGGGGCACATAGCGAGGATGTCGGGCGAAAGTTGGGTTAAAAGAATACTGATACAAGGTGAAGGAAGAAAGAGAAGAAGAGGGCGACCGAGAAAAAGATGGCTCGAGGAAGTGACAAAAGACGTGAGGGATGTAGGTGTCAGAGATTGGAAGGAAGAGGCCCTGGACCGAAAAAGATGGGAAAGAAGAGTGAAAGATCTCATAGCCAAGGGCCGTTTAGGCATGTAGAGCTGATGTATATATATGACCACTTTAATTTTCGCGAGCCGTCACTGCATAATATGTTCCTTCAGCTCTCCGTATTTCATGTAGGTACCAAAATAAATATGTATATGATAATAAAATTATACTTGATATATTTAAATACTTAATTGTTAATAGGGGATTATTAACAATTAAATCTATTGGACATCAATGATATTCATAAGATAAATATCATTGATGTCCAATAGATTTAATTGTTAATAGGGGATTAATAGATATATCTCAGAAAAATTTTTTGATACCTTATGAAATTGAAATGAATAAAACATAAATAGGATATATATATTTCTCCTGCTTTTTATATACTGGGTGTAACACTAGAAGTCAAAAAAGAAGAGGCATTTTCCTTGTACAACATTTAAGAATATTTTGTTACAAATATAACCATCAGCCCTGTAATCCATGTTTTTAAGATAAGAGAGTTTTAAAGTTACAGGTGTCTGAATATTTTCTGAAAAATTAAAGCACCTATTGAAATAAAATTTTGTATGCACAATACATGAACATAATGACGTTCAGTTAAGTTAAGTCTCAACTCAAACCAGCGGCATCTCAAGCTGCATAGATATAATGTATAAAAGTTCTCGCTTTTTATATAAATGCTGCTAGTTAAAAAAAAATATCAGTAGAATCATCAGGATATAGGCATCTTTAAGAGAATAAAAGGATATGTGAAAAGACTCTTATTGAAATATATATTGAGGCACAGGGACACCATTTTGAGCACATTTTGTAAAATCATATAAATAAGTAGGTAATTCTGCATTTATATTAACTACCATTTTTATAAGCTGCTATTTTATAACAAAGCTGTAAGATCTATACAAATATGTCAATACATAGGTATATAATTTCCAGTCAAATGTAATTTGTATTTCAGGAATGATATACTTATATTTTTTTTTCCAGGCATGTTAAGTATAATTTTTGCAAAAAATGTAACCATAAACCTCATATTTACTGGTTAAAGCAAATTTGTTCTCACCGAAGAAAATTTTTAGATATAACAATTTTTTCAAACGTTGGACATTTGACTTTTGTAATTAAATAAAAGTAAAAAAGTCACTGAATTTATTATATCAACTAGTGACCGAGATACTAAGACACAGTCATTAAGAATCTCTGAATAATATGAGTACTGAGTACTCTCAAAATTTATGTTTGATTCATTAATTTCAAAGAAAAATATATATTTTCCATCCATGCAAATTTCTGTAACTGAATTTTTTGAATTTACAATAATTATATTGTATTTAAAATTGCTATACATGAATTTATATCAGTCCTTCAAGACATTTGCCTGTGTGATTTTAAAAACACTATATAACTTGCAAATAAATCAACTTTTTACTTAATTACTTATATTTGGCCAAATTAATATATTTTGACCTAGTGATTATCTGATGGTGTTTGTGCTATTTCAATTTACTAAATTCTGCATAAAAAAATATTCTCGAATTTGGTCAAGGTAAAGCACCTTTCTTTATCCTTGACAAGTTGTGATAATCCCTGTGTATGGGTACATTTTATTTTAATGGGGAAAATGTATATAGTTTTTTTTTAGAATGTGATGTATAACTTGATACCATAAATGTAATATTATATTAGACAAAGGCTTTGTAACACTACAAAAATGGAATGCTGTCTCACTACTTTCGACTTATTTTGTCTCAGAATTTATTTTATAAGAGATGGACTTGTTCTTTACATCAACAGTGAAAAAGTCATTATCAATTAAAATAACTATCATTAGTTAAGTCGAAATACCATTTCGCAGTAAGTAAATAACTTTAAAGGGTAAGAGGACAATAACAAAGATAATAACAAATAGGTTTATCTTATAAGTTAAAGGTCAGTATATTTTAGAACACAAATAAGTAAATAAAAATCATAACATCCAATAAAATTACAGCAATAGCTTTAAAACTTCTTTGTGGTAATCTCTAGTTCTTTTACCTCGATATTTGAATTAGTTGTTTCATTTATTTATTATTGGTAATGGATTATTTAAGAATATTTATTAACTATATTGTAACAGGTACATAAGTAATATAAGCGGCATATTAGAAATTGCTTACTGATAAATTCATAATTAGATACACTGAGTCATAAATAGCATTCTTTGTAATTTCATCGTAAAAATTGGATAAATGCTTTTAGAGAATTCTACCAATATATTTAAAACCTTTAATAAGAATAATAGAATAGTATAATAGATTTTTTTAAATATGATGAAACGTCACAAATGATACAAATAGAACAAAAAAAAACTAAGAAAATTACCCAAAATAGGAAGTGCGCAATTTTTACTTACCAAATAACGTCAGCAAGGCAACGAAGATATAAATCTTCATGTTGACACTGTTGTATTGTCCAAATTCTTGTTCTTCTTCACAATAAATATAAATACAAAAACAACGTGAAACGTATAACAACACAGCTGATGACAATTTGCGTTCTTTTGGTTCTTAATGACGCTAGTTCGGAAGATTTCGGGTAATGTCGGTCGAATGAGACTCTGACGTTATTCGTTATTCCATGATAAACGCCAACTGCTAAAGGCGTGTTCTCATGTGCGATGTACCGCAGACGATAAGATTTTCAAGTTTTAAAATGCGAAATTCAGATTGTATTGTACCTATGACGTGTACGATAAAAATAAGTGAATAAATATTTTGTTTCGCTCTGGACTTCAAATATCCTAACATAAATTTAAAAAGTATAATACCTAAAAAATATAATTATCAATTAAAGGTAAATCCACCCACTAAACACGAAACGTAAATGAAACGTTGCAAATGAGATGTTTTACTGAACATTTGAAACATTAACTAGAAACGTTTCTGTTTCATTACAGAAATGTAGCACTTGAAAACTTATTTAGTGAAACATAGCCGAAACGTTACAATTGAAGAGAGTTTGAAACATTACTCGAAACATTCCCTTTCGATCTCGGAAACATAACAGACGAACAACCCTTTGCTATTTTTGCTTATCTTATGGAACATTCGGCATTAGTTAAATTTTGCTCTCAATCCCCAATCCTTCTCAAGCGTTAGTTCATTTGCCTTTGTTATATAAACATAATTAGAAAAAAAATGTGGTAGCATATTTATAACACAAGTCTAGAAAAAACGTATGTTCGTAACTTGCGTAGACTGCGCGTAACAGCCCGAGTTTATTTGTTTTCCGTGTGTCGTTTCAATTCGTATTATTTAGGTTAGGTTTGCGGTTTGTCAGTTTGCTTGGTTTCATTGTTATTCATCTTTACTTTGACGCTATTTTATGTAATAATTTGTAGTGTGTGCAGTTGTGGTTATTGTAAGGTGCATATAAAATAATGAATATTGATGCAAAATGTTTAAAACGATATGTGTAAAGAGATTTCCAATTTTGCGTCACATCTACCTAAATATAGTTATACCATTGTATAAGTAAATATAGTATTATATTTCTTATGGAAGAATAGTTGATCAAATTTTAGTTCTCGAATTCGTTACAAGGAGGAGCCATATGTATGTAAACTTGATATTTAATCGTTAACGTTCAATTTTACACTTTCGATACTGCGCCATCTTATGTTCAATAGTTAAATGATCCACTACACATATATTTGGAAATACAGTTTTCTTGGGATGAAATGATAGGGTAACGGAATAAATTCATATCACGTGACATGGAAATTAGTAAAATACCAGCTACCGGCAGATACAACAAAAAAGCTTCAGTTAATGCGGTTTGAGTTTTTATCTAGGGTTTGAGAAATTATTTAAATAAGATAATATTAGTTAAATCAATATGTGTGTAATTTAAGCAAGATATTTATTTGTTGTGAAATGTTATAAAAAATTTTTTTTACCAAATGTTTAATTTTACTTGTTTTTCTATTAATATATTGCGTTTATTAGCTTACTTAAAAAAATGTTAACGTTATTTGTTTATAAATTTGTTATAAACAAATGGACGTTTAATATTTTTGAAACATTTTTTTGCCATTTTATTGTCTTGGTAAAATAATGATTTTTAAAAACAAATTTTTTTCTTAAATAAATTTTTTAATTGTTTATATTCGTTTTTTTTATTTATTTGTCATTTAAATTATTTATTAAGAAATCATTTTTTTTTAATCATTTGCCATTCTCAATATAACAACATAAAAAAAATATTCAAATTTTCATTGTTTATTTTATATACAATTTGTTATAAACAAATTCTGATTTTCATTTTATCTTTTTTTCGTAACTTTAAAAAATTGTAAATACAGCTATGTTGCATCAAAGTGGTAAATAATTTTTTTTTCTAATTTTTATTGCATTTTTAAATTCATCACATCAAAGCTGAAGCGGTCACCTATTTTATAAACTTATAAATTGTTATAACTTCTAAACTATTGATACGATCTTTGACATTCAGGTAAATCTTTTAGATAATTTATTGATCTATATCTATAACATGAATTTTTTTACCTGCTTCATAATGGTTCTATTTTTATATAAATATACTCAATAAAAAATTTTTTGTAATTTTTATTCCAATTGTTTACGATTTTTCTTTATTTGTTTAAATTATCATACGATTAAGGGTACATTTTCTGGGTTTTCTGTACTTTTTTTTCCAACTAATGTCAATATTTTATATTCTTGTTGTTTTCTTCAATTTTGTCTATTTTTAATTAAACACTTAACTTTTGTAAGAGCAGAAACTCAAAAGTTCATTGTATTCCGTAACTATCTTCCAGGCTGCACAATTGGGTAAAATTTTGAGTTTCTGCTCTTACAAAAGTTAAGTGTTTAATTATTAACACTTGGTAAGAAAAATTTTTTTTATAACATTTCCCGGATTTTTCATTTTTTGTTAACTTTAAAAAATCATTATAAACAAATGAAAAAACTTTTATAAACTTTTACAACGGAATCTTGTTTATTATGTATATAAAAAGACCTCCCAGAAAGAAAAAAA